AATGGAATATTATTCAGCCTCTGAAAAGAAGGAAATCCTGTCATTTGTGTCAAAATGGAAGATAATATGTTAAGTCAAACAAGTCAGGCACAGAAAAACAAGTCTCACATAATCTCAATAATATGCAGAATAAGAAAAACAAGAAGCCATAAAAGAGTAAAATGGTGTTTATTGTGGCGAGGAATGAAGAAATATTAGTTAGAAGATCCCAAATACCAGTTGGTAAGAAGAATAATTTCAAGAGATCTGTATATGATGATGGCTACAGCTAGTAATATACTGTATATTTTAGAATTTCTAAAAAAGTAGATAGCCAGGTGTGGTGGCACAGGCCTCTAATCCCAACACTCAGGAGGCTGAGGCAGGAGGATTGCTGTGAGTTCGAGATCAGCCTGGGCTACAAAGTGAGCTCAAGGCCAGACTGAACTGCATAGTGAGACCTTGTCTCAAAAAGACAAATAAATAAATAAATATTCTCACCACATAAATAAATGTTCTCACCACAAAAAAAAAAAAAAAAAAAAAAAATAGCTGGTGAGGTTACATGTTAAAGGGCTTGATTTAGCTGTTCCACAATGTGTAGGTGTATACCCTGGTTTCTCTTCAGATGGCATAAATCTTTCGTCTTTCACAATGTGTAGGTGAAATATGATATATAATCTTAAAACACTTTGTGTCCCATAAACAGATACAGACCTGTCAATAAAAATAAATTTTGGCAGAGGGCAGGGGCACATGCCTATAATCCCAGCACTCTAGAAGCTGAGGCAGGAGGATCACCAAGAGTTTGGGGCCAGCCTGGGTAACTTAGTGAGGCCCTGTCTCAAAATTTAAGAAAACAAAAAGGGCTGGAGTTGCAGCTCAGTGCAAAGGCCCTGGGTTCAATTCCCAGTACAAAAAAAAAAAACAAAAAAAAAAAACAAGCCAGGCCTGGTAGTGCATGCTTGTAATCCCAGCATTCAGGAGGCTGAGGCAGGAGGATCACTGCAAGTTCAAGGCCAGCCTGGGCTACAAAGTGAGTTCAGACCAGCCTGAACTGCATAACAAGACTTTGTCTCAAAAAGACAAAAAACCAAAATGAAACAAAACAAAACAACTAAACCAAAAAAACCCCTCAGGTCCAATTCTTGGACTTTCGTAGTCAATCACCCTGAGGTAGAGTACTTATATATGTAATTATCTGTATACTCAATGCCTGACATTTCTTGCTGGGCTGTGAGCTTCATCAAAGCCAGGCCTGTAACCCTAGAACTTAGTGCAGTACCTTGAACATAGGCATTTAATAATTATTAAATGACTACTTCCTCCTGGCGTGGTGGTGCACACCTGTAATCCCAGCACTTTTGGGAGGCTGAGACAGTAGGATTGCTGCAAGTTTGAGGCCAGGCTGACTACACAGCAAGACCTTGTCTCAAAAAACCCAAAAACAACAACAAAATGACTATTTCCATTTGGGATGTATTTTAATTTCATACCAGAATGAACTGGGTATCTTCTATTGCAGCAAAACCAAGAGAATATTTAATCTCTCAATTGGAACGTTTGAGAATTGCGAAAGCCGCTGGCATCTCATTTCCTTTCTTCGTGGATAACTCTAACATCGTGGCCATGTTTGACATGATGGACCCAGCGGGCAGAGGCACCATATCATTTGCGCAGTATAAGGAAGGTCAGTGTGTGCCACACGTCGGAGTCCTAGCTGACGGTTGCTCTGTAACTTTCTCCCACTGAAAACAATCCCCACTTTGTAAACGTCGCGTTCTTCTCATTTTGACTTTTACAGCCCTGAAGAACCTGGGCCTGTGTACTGCAGATGAAGTCTTTCATGAGGAGGGACATCTAATAACTCTGGATAAATTCAGGGATGAAGTGTGAGTTTATGTTTAAATGAGTATTTTAGAACACGCTGTGACTGAAGTGTTACTAAGACCAGGGCAAACAGGTTTCCACCTTTTGAGAGAAACATTCCATTACCTTGAAACTTTCAGCCACTAGGCAGCAAGGAGAAGGGCAGGCCCCCCCTTAGGAAGGGAGAGGAAGTAGTGGGGTTAGAAGTCTGTTCTTGCCTCAGTTGGAAACCTCAGCACTTCTCAAAGGATGAGGTGAAGAACCTGACCTGCTAGAACTGCCTGAAAAGCTCTGGACTCCACACATGGATGCAAAAGTCTGTAAAAAATACAGTAATAAGATGTATCTCAAAATATTTCCTCAGCATCACTGCCAAGTCAATGTTTATCAGTAGTTGAGGCTCTATGCTGCCTGACAATTTTAGATTTGATTTGGGGTTTTTTGTTGTTATTTTTTTTTTGAGACAGGGTCTTCTCTGTAGCCCAGGCTGGCCTCAAACTCATGGTGATCCTCCTGTCTCAGCCTCCTGAGTGTTGGGATGACACGCATGTGCCACCATGCCTGGCTGTGATTTCAAATTTGAGATGTTACAAAATTAAAAGCATTAACTAAATGCTAAATCAGAAAAAAAAAAAAAAAACCTGGAATAAAACTTGATAGTTGTGGAAGGCCTTGTTAATTTAGCTCAATTTGGGTTTTACTCTCTGAAGATTTATTAATCAAGAAATTGTTATTTAATACATCCCAAGGACAAGGAAAATTAGAGAAAAGAAATTTAAGATTTTTGTCTTATCATCAATTATATAAATATTGAACAAAAATGTTTAATTATAGTCCTTACCCCAGGGGGAAGCGCAGTGCAGTACCAAGATGTCTCATCCGGAGGGGAAAGGCTGTCACTCTGAATGGAACTACAAAGTATTCTGAATGGAAGAGCTTAGGTGGAGGCCTCACTTACTCACAATTTCATTACATGTTTTCTTATAGAAAGACAGTGAACTCCCAACCTGAGTACAAGAACCTCTGCATTCTGGAATAGTTTAAAATATTTTATTGGCTGCGTCTGATTATCTTTAACAGACTGTTCTTTAATTAGCACAGTAGCCTAAACGTTAAATATAATTTATCTTTGCTCTTGTATTTCTTTTCAACACACAGACGCAGCATTATATTTGTAAACAGAATCTGAGTTTTCATAGTTTCTGAGATTTCTACTTTTTTATTTTCTTAGGAACAAGAGGACTTGGAAAATCTGGAAGGCATTTTAGTAACACCACCAATCCAAACTAATAAATGATTCTGTAAAGTTTTCATTTATCCAGTTTCATTAATTCACAGCTCTGTCGTACAACTTGAAATCCAACTGCCTTTTTGATTAAAAAAAAAAACCACCTTCTTCTGAAAGGCCAATTATCTGCCTGTGTTAGGCCAGTTTGTCCTCAAGTTAAGCAAAATCTCAACGTCCCGTTGAGCCAGTTTGTAAATGCCAACTTCATTCAGTGCTGCCGTGGCGGGAGGCTGACCTGAAGCTGACTGCAGCACGTCTTTGAGAAGCAACGCGGAGCCGACGTTCAGATTCAGAACAACACAGGCCTCTTTCACGCTGCGAGGAGAAGGGACGGGGGAGGGGGAGGGGTGCAAACGAGAAGTCCGTTATCCGTATCACACCAGTTTCACCTGGAGAAACTAAACAGCTTTCTTGCGCTGCTGGCCGCACATCCTCTGTAAAATCTATTCACGGACAGATTGTTTGGCTTTTTACAGAGGGTGACTACACAAATACAGTTCATAGTTCACCAGGTTACGATATCATAATAGAGTCACTGCTTTCAATAGGTGCCCACTATTTCTCTAAATACAATACTTGATACTGACTGTTGGTTAAGTGTAGCTTTGACTTGAGGTAGATTACGATATGGGAAAAGAGAAAAAGAATAAAATTAAAGCAGCAGGAAGGCAAACTGATAAGATAAATTTAAAAACAGTCACATCTTTCTGAAATACGCGAATTTAAGCCTTCATTTAATAAATTTCTAAAAATGTTTCTTGTTTTTTTCTTTGTCTTTTTGAACGGTCTCGCTATGCAGTTCAGGCTGGCCTTGAGCTCGCTTTGTAGCCTGGGCTAGTCTCGAACTTCAAATGATCCTCCTGCCTCAGCCTCCTGAGTGCTGGGATTACAGGGATGTGCTTAAAAATGTTTCATAGTCTCACAGACTGCATGACATAAATTTTAAATCAAATTCTGAAAATATTCCTCAGTTATTCTCACAAACACTTAAAATTATACTTAGAACCAAAGTTAGTGTTGAATGTGTAAGAAAACAAACTTTCTTCAGGTTTGCCAATCACAAGGTACTAAATGTACCTGTAACTTTTTCTTTTTTTTTGTGGTACCAGAGATGGTACTCAGGACTTTGCACTTGCCAGGCAGGCGCTTGTGCCACTGAGCCGTGTCCCCGGCCCTCTTCCGTGTGTTCAGTGTGGCGGCCTGCACTCTTTCCTTTCCTTGCTCTGGTAGTAAGCAAATAGAAGCATGAAACCGAATGTCACAGGACATTGTGCATACACAACTCACACGCAGCTCTGTCCCCTTTGAGGGGAGGTCACTGGTTTCCCCAGTGTTGTCTGAACATGTAGTAGATACACAATGACCAGCTTAAGATTTTATTTAATTAGCTCAGTGGCACAGCTTGCCTGCCTGGCAAGCACAAAGTCCTGAGTTTGATTTCTGGTACCAAAAAAAAAAAAAAGATTTTATTTCATCTTATTCCCCCCAAACATCCATGGATCTCTGAGGCTGTTCAAGGACCCAACCTCCTCTTACACTTTGACACATCAATATTAATTGTGAAATATTAAGCTTACTGTTTAAAATAATTTTCTGGCCTCTTGCAATAGTGAGAAAACAAGGGGAAAAGATTTCGAGTCATATCAAACTGCAGCTGGGCCGCTCCGCCTTCATTGAAGTGATTCGCAAGAATGACCTGAAACGGACAGTGGGAGCGGTGCGTGAGATAGCGGCCCTCCTCTCCCGCCCCCAAACCCGCCCCGTCCCGCTCACCTCCTGGTAGAGGTACACATCCAGCTTCTCCACCAGCATCTGCCAGAACATTTTAAACAAGGAGAAGCACAGCTGCTGCTCCAGCTGCAGCAGACGGTCCCGTAAGGTGAGCAGGAACGGGCAAGCCGAGCTGGAAAGCGACATCACGGCCTGTTCCGACTGGGATGGCAAGGACAGCCACCTGCAAACAAACATTCACTGCTACCATAACAGTGTTCATCACCTTCTATTTTTAGACTTCTAACAAATCATTTATGGTACACGCCTGTAATCCCTGCACTCAGAAGGCTGAGGCAGGAGGATCACTGTAAGTTCAAGGCCAGCATGGGTTCCAGAGTGAGACCCTGTCTCCAAAAATTTTTTTAAAAATCATTTTAAATGTGGGCTCGAGAAGAGGCTTGCAAATTTGAGCCCAGCCTGGGGAACTTAGTGAGACCCTGTCAAAAAATAGAAAGGGCTGATGGGTAGCTCAGTGGTATCTCACTTGTCTAGCATGTGCAAGGTCCTGGGTTCAATCCCCATGGGGGAAAAAATCCCCATGTTTTAATATATGACTTATATAAAATTATAATGTATTTTTAGCATTTAAGACATCAGCTAACTTTATCTTCTAATTTTCACAAAAACAACAAACAGGGACTAGTAACAGTTCCACAGTGAGTATAACAAACATTCTTGGGGAATTATGGTAGTGCAGTAAGCTACGTGACACAAACACATACAGGGTACTTCAGGAGCACCTGGCTTTTAAAAGGAGTGACAGACTGGGCCTCGCAGCCCTGGGTCATATGCTGGTGCTCTATATTTACAACCAGCTGAGGGCCAAATTGTCAGCTTACTCTGATTAAGAATGTCCAGCTGAGAGCCAGGCATGGGGGTGCACACCTGTCAGCCCAGCACTCAGGGGGGTGAAGCAGGAGGATCATTATGAATTTGAGGCCAAGCCAGGGATATAGGTCAGTGGCATAAGCGCCTGCCTGGCATGAGCAAGGTTCTGAGTTCGAATTCTGGTACAAAAAAAAAAAAAATTTGAGGCCAGCCTGGGCTACATAGTGAGATGAAGGCCAGCCTGAACTGCACTGTAAGACCCTCAAATAAGTAAATAAATATAATAGTAAAGAGAGTCAAATAAGACTCTCAAATAAGTAAATAAATATAATGATAAAAATAAAATTTAAAAAGAAAGGCCTGGGAATATAGCTCAGTGATACAGCATTGTGCCCAGTGTGTGTGAGGTCCTGGGTTCAATCACTGGTTCTGGAGAAAAAAGCAAAACAAAACAAAGCTAAAATTTGGTGTGCAAAAGGTCAAGCCCCGTTCTGTCTAGACAACTTGGAAAACTGACTGCATGGACTACCTTTCAACAATGACTACGCCAGCATTAAGCACTGGCTCAGAGAGGTACCTTTCTTTCTTATACAGCTTTGCGGCGTCTTTAACTTCTCTAAAAGCATGGTCTACTTGCCGGGCCAGCATGTCATGCTTTAAGCGCTCTAAGAGGCTGACCATGTCGTCGAAGACGGAGCTCTCCATGGAGGCCAGCTGTCCCAACTGCAGCTTGCTGAGCGTATTACTCTCTGCCAGCACCTCCAATGCTGCCTGCTGAAGCTGCAGGAAAAACTGAAAGGAAAATGTGTTGAGGTGGTTACTAACACAGCCTGTAGCACCGTGAACCACTGTGGTGCACGGCTCAGTGGTTCCAGCAAATCCATCATCACAAGTTTAGAGCATTTCCATTACCACCAAGCCCCTCATCCTCCCCAAACTCCCCCAGGCTGTCTGCACCCCGCTATGCTCGCCCTGCTCCCTCCAGCCCTGCGCTCCCGCTGATCCATCTTCTATCTCTGGATCTGCAAACCCTGGGCACTTCGTGCGAGTGGAATCAGGTACTGCCTTCCTTCACTCAGTATAATTTTCATGTGGTGACGTCGATTAATATGTATTTCAATTCTCTTTAATGCCAAAAAATATTCCACTCCATGGTCAGCCATACTACACCAAGGAAGCAGCACTGGCCTTCTGAGATCATGGATGGACCCTGTGAGCCTGGGGCTGCCGAGGGCAGTGTCCACAGCCTGCCTAGAATGAACGTCAGTGCAGCTGTGCCCAGTCTATTCAGTTCCCCAGCCCACCACAACTGAGGCCAGTTTGAATGAGCTTTCTGTCACGGGTACCTGAAAAACTCCTAACCCTGAATGATGGCTGGATATTTCAGGTTTGGTATAATCTGGCAAGAGTTAGCAGAGAATCAAAAATGAAAGTGAATTCTGCCTGTTATTCTTTTTTTCCTAAATGTGATATAAGAGCCTTTTAAAAATTTTTATTTATTTATTTATTTATTTTTGCAGTCCTAGGAATTGAAGCCAGGGTCTTCAAACCAAGCTACATTCTTAGCCCTTTGTATTTTCCATTTTGAGACAGGATCTTGCTGGAATTACAAGCATGAATCACTATGCGTAGCTTTCTTGTTTTTCTGAAACAGGGTCTTACTCTGCAATCCAGGCTAGCCTTGAACTCATTATATGTAGTCTGGGCTGGCCTCAAACCTGCCACCCTTCTGCCTCAGCCTCCCAAGTGCTGGATTAAAGATGTGCATTACCATGCCTGGCAACTTTAACAGTTTCATTTAAAGCATTCACAAGTTGAAGAACTGTGAAGACAATTAAAGGACTTTTGATGTTAAGACCAATCAGCACCTATAGAACCGTGCTAGGACACAGAATTCATTCCCAATTTGAAGAGTCAAGTCTGAAATTTGATTAGTTTTCTTTGTTGACATAGGACCCAGATAATTCAGCGTCAGATTTTAAGTTTTCTAAGGGCAGGGATAATAGCTAATTCATCTTTGTTAACAGATGATGGCACCAAGTAATGCAGTTAATGATGTTCCACAAATACTTTCAATGAAGCTAAAAGTCTGTCCCTGAATGAGTCTCTTATTAGATCATCTGGAATAAGAATCAAGAATGACATTTGTTTCATACTACTGAAAAAGCTTAGCAGTGTGGGGGCTGAAAGAATAAAGTACTTACTGAAATTAGAAACACTTCGCAAAATGAATCAAAATGAATCACTGTGTGCTGATTAACTGACTTAACACACTGATCATTATTCTCTCTGTTAATTTTTTGAAATAATTATTTTATTTTCCTTGCACTGCAGCATGACGTAACACACATGTATTTCAGTTTTCATGTTTTTATGGAAAGACACTAAATCACTAGCCAGGTGCAGTGGCTCATGCCTGTAATGCCAGCACTGAAGGAAACTGAGGCAGAGGGAAACCAGGTTCAAATCTTACCTGGGCAATGGAGCAAAACCCTGTCTCAGAACCTAGAAAGGCTGGGCACGGAGTTCAGTTTAAAGGCCTGGGTGTGAGAAGCTGGTTACAGCCACCTGGAACTTTATCCGCTTGTGTGTATGACGTGCCAGGGCCAACAGCTTGGAATGTGAGGCTACCCCTCCACCACTGAGCCATGTAGCCAGCTGCTATTCATGTGTATAACCCAGGGAGCACTGAGCTATATCTCCAGCTCAGTTTTTTCCTAATTAAATTTTGAGGCAGGGTCCTCTAGTCTTCCTCTTGCAGCCTTCTAAATAGAGGGGAATGCAGGTGTAAGCCACCAGGCTTGGCCAATAACTGGTCATGTTTTGAAGACATTCAACAGTTACCAAATGTTAGGGCTGGGCATGGTGGTGCACGCCTGTAATCCTAGCACTTGGCAGGCTAAGGCAGGTGGGTGGCTGTGGGTTCAAGACCACCCTAGGCCACATAGTGAGTTGAAGGCCAGGCTAACTATATAGTGAGGCCCTGTCTCAAACAAACAAGAAAACAACAACAACAAAAACACAGTTATCAAAAGTTATTCTTTTATTTTCTAACTTAAGATTGTGGGTTTTTTTGTTTTGTCTTGGTGGTACTGTGGATCTAACCTAGGGCCTCAAGCATGCTAAGCAAGTGCTTTACCACCAAGCTATTTCTATCCCTGTGTGTCTGATGATTGAATTCATTAAAATATCAGGATTAAAATGGGTGTAATCCCAGCACTCTAGGGGGGCAGAGGCAGGAGAACTGCAAATTGTTGCCTAGCCTGAGCAATAGCGACTTAGTAAGACCCTGTCTCAAAATGTTAAAATGCTGGTATGCAGCTCAGAGCAAAGGCCCTGAGTTCAATCCCCAGATAAATACATAAATATCAGTATTATTAACTATTTGATATTTGCCTGAGGAGAAAATGTGAAGTCTGGCACCATGGTGATTCTGCCTACCGTAGGGTATTTCTGTTTGCAATAGAGCAAATGCTTCAGAGGGTGGAGCAGTCCCCGAGCCCTGCTCCACTCCTTACTATCTGAGCACAAGACTCACAACGTTGTCAGCCCAGTCTGCGAGCACCACCAGGATGTAGTTCACAGCATTGAGGATCGCGCAGTACCGGAAGCCCAGCGGGGCTCGGGTCTCCTCCTTCATCACCTGCGTTAGCCGTATCCTGAAGTCATCCACCAGGTCCTTCTGCAGCTCCAGGAACTGCAGCTTCCGGGAGGCCATGGGGAGGTTTTTATACCTGTCTGGAGAGAGTGAATGCAATCTGAGGATTTCTGGTACATTCATGACAGTTACAGGTTTCCCTGACTAATCTGTTTTGCTGCTTTTGTCAAAAAAATTAGCTGACTATTTGAGTATGACTTTATTCCTAATCTCTAAGGATATGAATTTCATATCATGTCAAGACTCTTCAAACAGTTCACTTAAGAGCTGTGCATTTGGGCTGGGGATATAGCTCAGTGGCATAAGTGCCTATCTGGCAAGCGCAAGGTCCTGAGTTCAATTCCCAGCACCAAAAAAAAAAAAAGAAAATATTACATTTGATTCTGTATTTTCCTGAAGAGCTGTGTATTTTACTATATGTAAATTTTTTCTATTAAAAAAGCATATGAGGACATTGTATTAGAAAATGAGCTTTTTTGTAATAAGTAAATGGCACTTCTTTAATAAAAGAGAAACTTGTACAGATGAAATAAAATACATATTTAAGGATTAACAGACTACATGATATCCAAAATGTTCTTTAAAATACTCCAGGGGAAGTAAGGCATAGTGGCTCATACCTGTAATCCCAGCACTCTAGGAGGCTGAGGCAGGAGGATTGCAATTTTGAGCCCAGAATGGACAAGTGATTTAGCAAGACCCTATCTCAAAATAAAAAATAAGTTAGGGGTCTGGGGATGTAACTCAGTGCAAAGGCCTTGGGTTCAATTCCATTAGCACCCCCCCAAAAAAAACCAAGGGGAGAAGAATATGCAACAGACAACAGATAATTGTTTAGAACTTTGGCGATGGGAAACTGAGAGTCTGTTACATTACCCTACTCAAAGTTTGCTTGAAAATTTTCCTCATAAAAAGTTTTAACCCTGCATGGATGAATGTAAAGAAATGATCAGAAATACAGAACTGCATGTTTAAAAAAAAAAGTTTTTCAACCAGGCAAGGTGGTGCACATCTATAATCCCAGCACTCAGGTGGCTGAGGCAGGAGGATTCGGTGAGTTCAAAGCCAACCTGAACAACATAACCAGATCCTGTCTCAAAAAAAAAAAAAAAAAACTTTTTAAAAGAAACAAGCTTTAAACTTTTAGTGTTTTTCAGTTTTCTTACAGTTAAGAAGGGCTGGAAGGACACTTCTGGTTATTGTGGGGCCCAGACTGGCAGAAGATGATGGAGACCAAGAGGGCTAAGAAGGTGGCAGTGAGGGCCATGGCAGCAGGGAACCAGCACCTGAGGGCCACTGGGTGCTGCACACCAGCAGTCCCAGAGGCACTAGGGCACCTCTAGCCAGAAAACCCTTGCATGGTAAGTGGAACCCTGTTATTACCAGGCACCTTTAAATCACTTTGCTGTTTTTCTCTCTTCCGCAATCCTTGCTGTTAAGATCCAAAAAATATTTAAAATTTAAATTTGAGACAGGTCACAGCTCATGTCTGTAGTCTCAGCTACTCAGGAGGCTGAGACAGGAGGACTGCCAGAGTGCCAGGGTTCAAGGCTAGCCTGGACAACATAGCAGCACCCTGTCTCTTAAAAAATAAAATGTTGACCAATCATCATTTACAAGACCCTTGTAAAGCTGAATGGCAAAACCCAAAACAAAATAGCATAATAAATAAAAGAAAAAATATAAACAAATAAAGAAGCCAAAAAACCTGTACGGCAAGAGAGTTCAGGCAGTAAAATTCTTATTTGTTTTTATATAACCATTCAGAAATTTTCCCCTCATATATACCAAAGTTTAAGTACTAATTTAAATTACTAAATACCCAAATGAATAGTATGCTAGACCTCTGCTAAAATAGAAGCTGAATTTGAAGATATTATGACATCCACAGCATACTAACTTTTGTGAACTACTAGGAAAAATACCACATGAAAAGTCAGATTTTAAAGCAAAGTCCTATCTCTTTTTTCCCAGCCAGGGCTCCCTGTGTTCCCTAGGGTGGCCTCCAGGCATGATACTCCCCTCTGACCACCAAAGTAGCTGGGATTTCACTTGTGAGCTACCATGCCTGCTCAGAGGCAGATCTGTCTTATTTTTTGTTTTATAAGACAAGGTCCCACTATGTAGTTCAGATCTCACTTTACAGGCCAGGCTGGCCTTGAATGGACAGCAATCCTCCTATCTCAGCCTACCAAGTGCTAGCATTATAGGCATGCGTCACCATGCCTGGTCAAAGGCATACCCCTAAAAACTGATAATTACCAGTTATAACCAAGAGTAGAGTCATAAAAGTTTCTGCACAATCTGGAACTTTCATTTCATCCACATCAGTGATATCCTTATACTGGGATACCCAGGCCACCTCTGATGACAGCATTGAGTCCATTTTTTGAAGAGCAACTGGTGGGAAGAAAAACGTGTGTCAATTATGTAGTTATAGCCATTCCTAATTTTTCAGGAATGATTCTTTTCCTTCCTTCTTTCCTTCCTTTTCTTTCTTTCCTGCTACTGGGAATCAAACTCAGGACCTTACTTTGCCAGGCAGGTGCTTATGCCACTGAGCTATATCCCCGGCCTTTTTTTTAGGTAGGGTCTCGCTATGTAGTTCAGGCTGGCTTTGAACTCACTTTGTAGTCCTGGCTGGCCTTGCACTATGGTGATTCTCCAGCCTCAGCACCCCCAGTGCTAGGATTACAGGCATGCAGCACCATGCCTGGCTAGGAACAATGATTTTTTTTCTATAAAAGCTACCATTTCCCAATCGTTGCACTATATTTAAAATGCTCTATTTTGGGATAAAAACCTTCAAAATAGTTATGCTGAATAAACAAGCTACATCCCAAAAGATTCTATCAAGAGCACAAATACTATGTGGTAAAATCTGTAAAATAGTTGTACCAGCTTAAGTATTCCACTGTAGAAACATGGAATATAATTCCAGGAAAAACTGAAGTTTCACGGGAAGAAAAGATAAGAAGATTCTCTCTGAAGGTAACTCTGTAAACTTTGACCAAGAAAAATCTAAATGGTTAGTTCCTACCCAGAAGTGGAGGAGAAACATACCAAAAACTGACGTACTCAGAGAGACATCTCTGCCTACCCTGCGGCCACTGAGCACTTACATTTTCTCTCCACAGTTAACCATCGCTGAAAGCACGTTTCCTCGGACAGAATGTGCATGCAGCTGGCGAAAGTGCCGGGGTAGCCGTGAGCACTATGGAGCTCCCTTTCAAACAGGAGCACCTCGTCCACCAGGTGACAGAAGAGATTGTCATCATACAGCAGACAAGGAATATCCGAAGCCAACTTCTCAAGAACCAGCATCATCAGGCCCCGGGAAAATTCCAGCTAGAGAAAGGCATAAATATGAGGTGTGAAAGTAATACGGTACCATGCAGGTATCTCCCAAGAATAGTCTGAAATACTCAGTACTGAGCCCCTTACCCGCGCATTTACTGCAGAGCCTGCTTTGTCCAATATTGGCTGAATCTTCTCATCCAGAAATTGAGTGTGGTTTCCAATCCACATAAGTACCTGAGCCAGGTACCATTCGGGCTAAGGAACAATGTAAAGTGGTTTAAATTATTTAGTTAGTACAAGTAGAAAATTACAATAAATGTCTCTATTTAATTATGAACACACAATACTTAACAAAAGTTAGTTGAAAATTTCTTATATGCAAGAGCCCAATTTCTACCTGAACTATAAACTCATGAAAGGTTTAATAATCAGACTCTTCCTAATATACTCACAACAAATACCAATAATGAGGCTAGGTCAATAAACTTGTGAGTTTCAAATACCACTTTCAGCCGGGCATCCCACACCTGTAATCCCAGCACTCGGGAGCCTGAGGCAGGAGGATTGCTGCGAGTTCGAGGCCAGCCTGGGCAACAAAGTGAGTTGAAGGCCAGCCTGAACTACATAGTGAGACCCTGTCTCAAAGAGACAAAAAAACAAACAAATAAAATAAAATACCACTTTAGGGCTGAGGGTAGAGCTCAGTAGTGGACAGTCTGACTAGCATGCATGAGTTTAATCTCCAGTACCATGAAATAACACAAAAAAAGGCATGTATATTTAAAACCTAGCACTTTAGTAATAGGTACAATGATCCCACTTTGGAGAAACCAGTGTCTAGTACAACAACCATTGTTAATTTCCTGCCATTTTTGTCTGTAACTCACTATTATTTGTCTATTTGTTTTCCTGAGAAACTATCTTGAAGATACCAATAAGTAAAATAACAACCATTGATAATGTCCCACCACTTTGTCTGTAATTCGGCAAATCCCCCTATTGCTATGTTGTCCTTCTTTTACTCTTTAAAATAAAATTTTAAAAAATGATGAGTACTCTATTATAAGAAGCAAAGCATTTAAACTGTCTTTTGAAATAGCATTCAAAAAAAAAAGAACTAGCATCCCAAAATAATTTTTAAATATTACTTTCTTTTGCTTTTTTCTTTTTAAAAGGCAAATTAAGAAAAAAATTGGAAAGATAGCATCTTTTCAGCCGGGCGTGGTGGCGCATGCCTGTAATCCCAGCACGCAGGAGGCTATGGCAGGAGGAGGTTGAGGCAGGAAGATCCTTGCTGAATTCAAGACCAGCCTGGGCTACAAAGTGAGCTGAAAGCCAGCCTGAACTGCATAGAGGTGCCCTGTCTCAAAAAGACACACATACAAAAAAGAAAAACCAAGAAAAAATTTAGCGTGGTCTATATTATAGAAAATAAAACAAAACAAACAAACAAAACCACCTATGCCTTTAAACAGGTATACTTATAGGAAGGGAACTGCGGGCCTGAAGCATTTTAAATTGTCCCTGGAGTCGATTCTGCAGGCATTCCAAGTCTTGTTGGGTAAGGGTTCAAAACCATTCACTGAATGGTAAGTACCGGTATGCATAAGAAGCTGGGAACATACTAAATGAGGCAGCGCAGCCCCGACCTCAAGGGCTGTGCGGTTTGGGCTCGATGTGGGCATGGAGGTCCGTGGGGACCACCCTGCAAAGTGCAGCCACGTAACTCGCAACTTTCGTATGTCCACTTACTACTGCTTCTCTGTGACTTAAGGTTTATTGCTTTGTGTCACTTACTGCTACCTATCCTAGTGGTCCTGCTCTTCCTTCCACCAACACTGCACCCAAACAAGTGCATCCATGAAGTGTACACAGAAACCCACCACCAATCTGCTCCTCACTGTGCAAAACGCCTCTCCCACGACCTCCTTACCATACTACTAAGCCTTTAAATGACACCGAGCTAACGATCCAGATCCCTGGTGTGATCTGGCACTTGATAAGCTACTGAAAATATTTACTGAGGCAGGGCGTGGAGATGTGTGTGTACGCCTGTAGGTCCTCAGGAGGCTGAGGCAGGAGGCTCTCCGTGAGTTCAAGGCCAGCCTGAACTGCACAGTGAAACCCTGTCTCAAAAAGATTTAAAAAAAGAAAAAAATTGCTGAACCCCTGCTATACGCATTGTATTAGCTGTAGCAAAACTTGATAGAAAACAAGACAGCACTTAATTTTTGGCAATTTTTTTTTTTTTGTCTTTTTTGAGACAGGGTCTCACTATGCAGTTTAGGCTGGCTTTGAGCTCACTCTGTAGCCCAGGCTGGCCTTGAACTTGCAATGATCCTCCTGCCTCAGCCTCCCGAGTGCTGGGATTAACAGGCTTGCGCCACCATGTCCAGCTAATTTTTGGTAATTTCTAACATTATAATTTGACCTGTTGTTCAGATAGAATTAAAGAAAAATCTCAACAATATGCCCTGTATACACTGGTATGGCCCCTCAATTAAAATGTTGGTAGTAGCTCCTTCCAAAGGATTCACATCATTAATTCCATAATCTCTGCTGTATAGCTATAAATCACTTCCACATTAGCACCTCTATTCAAAACCTATGGCTCACTGGACACAGTGGCCCACACCTATCATCCCAGCTACTTGAGGAGCTGAGGCAAAAGGATTGCAAGTTCGATGCAAGCCTGGGCAACTTAGCAAGACCCTATCTCAAAATTTTAACAAAGTGGAAAAGGACGGGGGATATAGCTCAGTGGTAGAGCACTTGCCTAGCACATGTGAGGCCCTGATTCAACTCCAGTACAGCCACAAAAGAAAAAAAAAAAGTGAATGGTCTACCATCTTTTGGCATTTGCTCGTCTTTTCAATATACCTGTAAGTCTGCAGGAGCAATTTGTACAGTGAAATACACATGCATGTAGTTGTAAAACCTGTCACAGGAAATGCTACAGCATACTCTAGGAAACCCTGAGAAACAGGTCAGATGATATGCCAAAGAGAAAACCGATTCCCACGCTACCTCTTCACAAGTCCTCAGCTCTATCTGGTTTTATTTTTTCAGTCTTTTTGAGAGAGGGTCTCTCATGCAGTTCAGGCTGGTCTTGAGCTTACTTTGTAGCCCAGACTGGTCTCAAACTAGCAACAATCCTCCTGCCTCAGCCTCCTGAGTGCTGGGATTACAGGCATGAGCTATCATACCCAGCCTCCCGCCATATTTGTAAAGGGGAGTGATAAAACAGGAATTTCACTGAAATGTAAATAGAAGCATGTTTTGGTAGTACTGAGGATCCAACCTAGGACCATTCCACACTGAGCTACATAGTGAGACCCTGTCTCAGAAAACCAAAAAAAGAGAAAGCAAAAACAAAGATGAGGTAGCAAAGCACACCTTGCTTATGACATTGGTCTGCCGGTTGCCTCGGAAGTGGTAGCGGAACCTCTTCTGAAGGGGAGTCAGCATGACCTGTATGGGCAGGATGATGGCAGGGGACGCGGGGAGACAGTATTTCTCTGGGAGCTGTTCTGGCTCAGTGAGTAATTCATCTCTGACATAGTCAGGTCAAGGAGAAGGAACCTGAAGCGTCTGTGCCTGTACACCCACACACAATGTACACACACACAATAAATGTCCCCAACAGATGCTTCAGTGCAAAATTACAGCGTAGGACCGGGAAGACAGCTCAGCAGCACAAACACCTGCCTGGCAAGCACAAGGTCCTGGTTCAATTCCCCGGTACCAAAAAAATAAATAAATAAATAAATATATATATATATATATATATATATGTATGTATGTAATCTAAAGTACATACAAATTCAGTAAGTGAAGAAAAATGTTATCAGAATTCATCTGTCAATCTTTCCTAAAATAAAGAGTAGTAAGGAAATAAATTCATATTACCATTTGATTAAATTAATGCTTTGCTACTAAGTTTTCTCCTCCTCTCTGCTCATGTGTTCCACTGTCCCAAGGGCTGGGGTGACAGGCATGCGCCTCCACACCGCCACACCTCAGAGCTCCCTAGTGGCCCTTCTGCCCCGGCACGGTTCACTTTGTGAGAGAACAGGCCACTGCTTGATGGTCATTTACACATCGAGTCCAACCCCGGACTTCTGTTTGGCTTCCTGGTCACTTTGAAAAGGTCTGACTTTCTGACTACAAATCCACTGTAGAAAAAAGAAATTTTAGTAAGTTTTCCACTCCAACAAAGATACGAGGTTTGCAGTTTCAGCAGCTGACAGAACAGCGTCTCTAGGTTGCCATAGAGCTCAGGGCTGCTGGCAGGCCGGCTCACACCCACGGCCTGAGACTGCGGAGGTGTGATGAATGGCCAGTGGAGCTGGGTTAAAATCTCCTCAAAGTCGCTGGAACAGAAAAGAGATATGCATTTCAGTGCAGTGCCACCAGCGACTGCCAAACACCCGTCCAAATGCAATTAGTATGAAATACGGCTAAGTCCTCTACCTTGTAAGCTTGTCCTTGAGAATCTTGTGCCAGAACTTCACTGTGGCTCTCATGAAGCCAAGAAGATGTGCACAGGACGATTCCTGAAGCTTGATATCAAGTTGTGTCATGGCCACCAGGGTGGAAGCTGCCTCCGGCACATTGTTGGTCATCAGATATTGCTGAATGTTATCACTGCAAAACAAAGTGAAGCAACTGCAGGGACAGCTTCTCAGAATACTATGATACTGCAGCCTCAGACTCGTAGAGTGCCGGGATTATACGTGTGCACCACCATGCCTGACCTCCCTCATGTTTTACATAAATTATATTCAAGCTAGGAGTAGTGGTGTGTGCCCGTAATTTCAGCTATTCAGGAGTCTGAGGCAGGAGGATTAGCAGCTGGATAGACTGAACAACTCAGTAAGAGCCTGTCTCAAAATTTAAAAAAGGACCGCAACATAGTTCAGTCAGAGTTACACCCAGGGCCGAATGAAGCATAATTCCAAGGTGGCAGCATTTCACCTAGCACCCAAGTCTCTGGGAGCCTGGAGTCTTCCAACTCTCAGCATCCTTCCACTAGCAGCAGCCCAAGTTTGGGACACCTTTCTCCACCAATTGATCCCAGCAGAACACATCGGTCCCTTGTCACATTCCCTTAGGTACCACTCACTGCTCTTACAGATGTCTCAATCCAGGGGAATACGTGGGTAGCATCTGGTATGGTCAAGTATATCATCTTCAATTTTTACCTACTTTTCCCAGCAGAACTTAATTTCCCACTTCAAAGAATTGTATTCAAACTAATGTTGCATTACATTAAAATAAAAGCTACCATGCTCAATCAGTGTGTAAATGTTATAAAAATTAAAATGTATTAGTAACCACAGAATAGAGGACACTGCTTTCTAGGATGACACAGATCTCCACACATCACTGAGGCAGGAAGGACATTTCACCAAAGTTGGTTTCAACCAACTTTGGCTTTCAACCAAAAAGCAAGAGTACTAGTGTTCACTCAGCGGTACTGCTGTACTGTAGTATGCTAGAATGGAACTAATACAAAGATGTTAGTTGTAGCAAGAAGAAACCACAGAGAAAGACAGACAGACAGACAGAACACTATAGAATAAAGAACAGGCCATTAAAAGGGATTTTTTTCTTAAAAAAAAGGAAATTTGGAGATGAAAATACCAGAAGGTCAAAACAAAGCCATGTTCTCACCAAAAACGTAAGGAAAAGGCTAAGTTATTAGAGAAATAACTGATACTTCATTATAAATTTGATTCTCATTTCTAATATGACTCCCTGGGCATATTTCTCTTGTAAACAGTTCAGGTATCACAAAAGGTGATCCATAACCATAGTCCTATTTTAGCTCATCTATTACTATGAGAGGGAGACCTTTAAACAACTTGTTTTGCTTACAAGGTTATTAATATTATTTCTTACTGGTATGTTCATTCAGATGGACAAGGAGAAATGAAATCATTGAGGTTTAAAATTCCTTCACTGCACACAATTTAAACAAAGAATGAGAGGCTCTAAAAAGCTTAAATCAATTTCTGGAATCATTAGTAACACTATAACCTTAGACTTATTCGTTTAAATGTAAAGCTGCTCATATATATAAAACAAAGATTTTCATACCATACTGCTATGTAAAATGCTTGACCACCTTAGGAAACAGATACAGGACAAAGGGATACACAGCACATCCATATCATTAAATATATTAACTGTGGTACATTTTAAACAAGATTTAAAGTTTTTTGGATGATTTTTCTCCCACATTCGTGGTTGCAAGCAACTTTGCAGCAAGAATAGTTAAAACAAGGTAGAATGGGACAGTGTCGTCGGAAGCCCAGGGGATGCTATCATTAAACAATTCATTGTCTGCTCTTTAGGTGGAAATGTTACTTTGGCTTATTTGAAAGGCAACTCCAGATACTCACAAGCAACCATTGATGATATGTATTCAAAAAGAACCCCCAACACACACTGACAGATAGTAGAACTGTGTCATTCATCTAAAAATATTGTAGAGGTCTTATTAGAAGATTCCCACTAAAATAATTTCAAATACTAGAGAAAGCAATCTATTTCATTTAGGGACATTCCCTAAACATTAGATAGGAATACCTATTACCACACTGAGGATTTGTTTCATTAATTTGGCATTATAAATAATATTTTAACTATGTTCTTAGCACCATTCTAAAAGACTTAAAAATTTAATTTACTTAGATTACTTTCTTTCAAATGCAAATTAAACTCCCTGAAAAATTTATATTCATTCACAATAAAGGAAAAGAATCATTATCATAATGCTATTTTCATAACAACTGGTAAAATTACATTATTATAATCTTTAATTAACTCAATTATTTAATGGCAAGCATGCACTCTGTAAGACAGAACCTCAAAGGAAAATAATAATTATGAGAACAAAGAGGCCCATTTTACCTTAGTTCTTCAATTTGCGAAATCCACTTAAGGTAGGCAAGATGCCGTTCAATCTCTTCGATTTGGCTAATCATGGCCCCAAGGTCGTCCATCCAGGGCTGTGCGGTCAGCAAGTGGCTACTGATAGAACTGAAGAGATGGGTTTCTTGCTCCAGAAACTGATTAAGGGATTGCTTTGATTCTTCCGCATTTTTTAAGGCACTTTGAATTCTTTTAGGAATTTCTGATGAAACTGTAAGAACCTAACCATCACCAAAAAAAACAAAAACCCCCAACAGCAATCAGATAAAATTTTCATAATCTTTTTTATTAAAGCACATCATTTTAAGGACCAAGAGAAGGAGGGAGGGGGGGAAGGAGACGACAAAAGAATTAGGATGTGTCATGTATACGTACCAATTCTCCATGGTGAATGTCATCATTATGTAGTGCAAACTGCACTAATACAAGTAAAAAGTATTCCCTTCTGAACACATGCTCATTCTAACAGAAATAAAAGCTATTAAAAACTTAAAAAGCCACCAGGTATGGTGGTACATCCCTGAAATCCCCTCAGGATGCTGAAGCAGGAGAATTTCCGTGAGCCCAAGACCAGCCTGGGCTGCATAGTGAATTCAAGGTCAGCCTGAACTATGTCTCAAAAATAAAAACAAATATATACAAAAAAAAAACTTCAAAAACTCCAATCTCCAGTACCAAAAAAAAAAGTTGAAAAAATAACTTCAAAAGGAAGTTTTAGGGGCTGGGGATTTAGCTCAGCGGCAAAAGCGCCTGCCTGGCAAGCGCAAGGTCGTGAGTTCGGTTCCCGGTACCAGAGAAAAACCAAAAAACCAAAAATAAAAAATAAAAAAAAAAAAGGAAGTTTTAATTTCTTTATCTTGTATGAATCAAACACATGTATACACAACCTCTGTGAAGCACATGTGTATACACAACCCCTGACAGGCATCTAGAATCTGTCCTTCTACACTCAGTTCTTTCAGAGGGTCCAGCCAGAGACTACCTGCTTTACTTACTAAATATCTTCTTTTAGAAGTGAATGAGGGACCAGGCATATAGCTCAGAGGCACAGAGCCTACCTGGTAAGTGCAAGGTTCTGAGTCCCGGTACTAAAAAAAAAAATAAAAGTGAATGAAGTAGTGCTGAGCATGGTGGCATATACCTGTAATCCCAGCATTCTGGGAGGCTGAGGCAGGAGGAGCACAATTGCCCAGCATGGCCAACTCAGCAACTTAGCAAGATCCTGTCTCAAAAAAAAATTTTTAAAAAGAGAGTGGGCAGGGAGCTCAGTGTAAAGGCTCTCAACTGAGTTCCCAGTATCTAAGTAAATAAAGACAGCAAGCATATTGTAGGTTCTTAAAACCTATTATTACAGAGTATAAAATGATTAGACTATTTGTCACAACCCAGATATTTAAAATTCTACAGCTATGTAACAGTGATTATTTATATTCCATCACATATAAGTATACTATTGATATTATTTCAGTGAGTTCTCTTACCTCCTCTTCTAACTTTACTTTACTTTCTGTCATTTGTTCTATGAGTTTATCAAGCTTCTTTAAAGATTTCAGGTCATTTCCAACTTCCTTTTCTATGAACGCAGACACATAAGAAGGAAGATCATCATCTGTACCTTCGCTGACTTGTTCACTTCCAACAGAAGCTGCGACATTTATGTCACCTAAAATTAAAACACAGCAGCTACTCAACACTATTAAGTATTATGGAGTTCAAGCAAACATAAAAGATACACAAAGGAGTCTCTCTACCTTTAAAAGCTTATAATTTTAAAAACACACTATGTGTATAAACATGTATCTTTATATAGACATGTAATCCCCAAAGGAAAAGCTGTAAAACAGCCTATCAGCCAAGTACCATAAAATGCTCAAGCTCTGAGAAAATTTGGAGTGAAGGAAGAACCCCAAAAGTAGGACCTGTAACAAGAGGATTCGATAGACAGTAGTGTGACAGTGCATAATACCTTTTCAAATTTTGTAAGGAACCAGTGGTACAATCTACAACACCAAAGGAGTTGTCTGGCTGGAAAATGTTAAAAAAAAAAAAGTATTGAAATATTTGAAGTATATGGAAAGGATATGGAAAGATAGTTGAGGAGTGAAAGAACTTTAGGGACTGGGATATATCTCAGTGGTAGAGAATTAGTCTGGTATGCGAAAGGCCCTGGGTTCAATTCCTGGCACTAAATAAACAAGAAATAAGTTTTTAAAGATTTAAATATCACATGAAACATGTCTGTATCAGAGACAGAAAAAAACAAGGACACATGAAACAAAATATAAATTACTAGGAAAAAATCCAAATGGCTGATGTGACCACTAAATTGGACAAGGTGAGTCTTTCCACTGCAAACCAACCACTTAGTCCATTTCATAATGGACTTATTGAATGTGGTGAAAACAGGTGACTTGGGGCCCTGAAGCCATTTTTTGAGAAGATTAGAAGCAGAGGCAGCATTTGCTGAAAAATGGCTACAGAAAGCAGGAACCCTGTGTGGCTTTGATCTCATCCCAGTTAGTACAGGAATTTCCCGGAGTCCTCTCTTTCCCCTTGAAAATCCATCATTTTCCATTTGACAATGACTTTTTCACTCATCTCCCTTCTTCCCACTCTGGGAAGCTTATGAAGACATATTTAAGTTAACAGAAATCGTGGAGTGGAGCAAGAATGAACTATAGAAAACAAAATTCAACTTTTCTTTAAACAAAATACTCAATAAATTTTTAGTAAATACAAAATCCACTTCAAAGGCAATTAAGTTATTTTCAGCCTTGCTAAATTCATTGCCCATCAGCACTTCTCTTTTGCAGCAATCTCTAGCTACATTTTGCCGCCCACCTGTGCCTGACTTCAGAGAAACCTGGAGGGTCACAGCAGCTTCTTCCCAAATCAAGGGGTACCAGAACCCACAACTGGCCACTGTGTCTTCCTCCCACTGTGTCCCAGCATGCTGAGATCATCTGTTCCCCTCTTTCCATGCATAAACTAGCCACTTTGGTGGCGGGGGGGGCAGTGCTGGAGAATGAACGTAGCCTACCTAGGGTCTCACACAGGCAAGAGGTCTGCCTCTGAGCTACATCTCCAACCCTTATTTTGAGACAGGGTCTAAGTCACTAAATTGCCTGGGATACACCCTGCAGTCCTCCTGCCTCAGCCTTGCAGAGTGCTGGGATTATAGGCATGCACCGCCATGCCTGGCTTCATCTTTTGGTCACACATGATTTTCTCTGGCCAGTGCAAGTTTAGGAAATCTCAAGCTTCAATCAAACTTCACATAATGGTAGCTCTATTTCACTCATCTTAAACATGCTTAATTCTACTTGCTTCACACCTTGAATTATTTCAGAGACTAACATCCCTAGTTTTGAGCAACTCCTCTGTATTAAGAAAAAAAGTGTGCATGAGGGGTAGAGCTGGGGGAACAGTGCAGACGCTTGAGGGGGCAGCAGACTAGAATTCACCTTGGTGCTTCCCTGGAGCTGTGCATTGCAGAGCCTGGCCCTCTACCAAAAACGCACTTTCAAGAAAACAGCAGTGAAAGGCAAGAGGATATAATCAACCGTAGTAAAAAGCAAGTGTGACTTTGGGTAAAATTAAAATACTTATATGTAACAAGATGTCTAAATGCAAAATGTAAATATCATATAGTTCAAACATGTATGGGAAGATTAGCAGTATACCGGTGTGGTGCTGGCTATGTTCCTCCTCCTTCTTCTTTACCTTAAAAACCAAATCTTCCCTTGTTTTATTTAACTTCTAAGAATTAAAGGACTGAGCCAGAAGCTGGGTGTGGTGGCACTTGTAGTCCCAGCATACCGTAAGTTCGAGGCCAGACTGAGCTATACGCTAAGACCATGTTGAGGAAGAGAGACAGAGAGACAGAGACAGAGAGACAGAGAGACAGAGAGGGAGAGAGAAAAGAGAGAGAGAAAAAAAGAGAGAGAGAGAGACTGAGACTGAGCCAGCCATAGCAGTATATGCCTATAACTGCAGCACTGAGAGGCTGAGGCATGAGGATCCAATGTTCAAGCCCATCCTGGGCAACTTAGTGTCTTGGGAAGACCACGTCTTAAAATAAAAAAATAAAAAAGGGCTAGAGATATAGTTTAGTATGAAGGCCCTGGGTTCAAGCCCCAGTACCAAAGGAAAAAAAAAATTGTTCACAGGCTATGAGAACGAGGAGCCTACCAGTGAGTATGAGAAGCAAAACAATCCTAATACTATGCCTCAACTTCCAAACTATAACTTAGAAGCTACAACTATATCCCAAACTTGGGATTTCCTAACCTATAACTTCCAAACTGTAACTTAAATTATAACTGTAACTTAGCCTACACTTAAAAGTCATGTTTTCTGGGTCTCAGTACAATACTCATTTTCTTCCTCAAATGTGAACAGGATTGGCTTGTCTGCATCCAAACTTTATTAGTATAAAACAATATACAGTACTATTTATTAATCATTGTACATATCATCCATCATTATGTACTATACTCACAATACCTTTTTCATTTCTATAAATAAAATAGGTGAGTTGTGTGTATTTGCAGAAAAATGGAGGCAGGAAATGCTTTATGAATGAATACAAAAGTTGGGGTATCTTAGCTGATTCTACCTTCAGTTTTAAAAATACACTTTACAGCCACACATAATGGCATACACCTATAGTCCTAATACTGGGAAGGCTGAAGCAGGAGGGTTGCTGTGAGTTTGAGGCCAGTCTAGGCTATGTAGTAAATTCAGGGCCAGTCTGAACTATGTAGTGAGACCTTGTCTCAAAAAACCAAAATAATAATAATAAAAAAATACACCCTAGGCCATGTGGTGGTGCATGCCTATAATCCCAGCACTCAGGAGGCAGAGGCAGAATTGTTGTGAGTTTGAGGCCAGCCTGGGCTACATAGTGAAGTCAAGGCCAGCCTTTACACAGAAACTCAACAAAAAACAAAAACACCCTAGACATGTAATGGTGTAAATGTGGCACAGTATGCTTTTAAATGATTCTTCACAATAATACATTGATGACTTGGAAGTTTTCTATATCTTTCCTTTTCTACTTTTTATAAAAAACACTTCTAATTACAAAGCAGGTACCTGAGCCACCACAGGAAGAGGACAGAGTCCTTGATATGCCAGGAGCATCTATCATTTTACCTGAGTGACTGAGCAGTGGGGAATCAAGCCTCCCAGGCATCGGAGTGGGAGGAAGGTGGGAAGGACAGGGTTTAACTGAAAACTGGGAGTTGTCACAAATCCTTGAAGGCAAAGGAGCTGAACTCCGGTGGCCACAACTGTCAAATGCTGCGGACTTGCTTGGAGCCAGTGTTAAGACCGGACAGGAATGTGCTGAGCCTTTGTCTTACCACTAAGATTCATTCAGAGACTGTTGGCCATGGTCAAGAACCCCAATCCACACCCACAGAAGAGCTATTACGTGTTTTCCCCCTACCTCTCAAAAATTTCACTTCAAAAGCCCCTAGAGTCCTTGATTTCCAATAGCCTGTCATACTCAACCCATTAAAGTAAAAAGATAAATGTGCACATTCCTGACACATGCTCCTGATCTCAGTACGAAACAAAGGTACTGCTCCTTCTCCCTTTCCTGTCCAGAAGGTAAAACTACAACTAAACAATTACTGTATTTGGTTGCTTTGAACCAGTTAAGGTGCTGGTCACCCCTCCTAATCATCAGCCCCTCCATATTTTCATGCTTAATAAGCGATGCTTCACTGGAAAGGCAGGCGGGTTCCAGTTACGTCCAGTCGGACGGGCAGACCTCCGTGCAGCCACACCAGTGCCTGCCGTCTGCAGGCTTGGGACGTGCTCTTCTGCAGAGCAGCTCGTATTTTACAATCTTAGAAAGACAAAAATGCATCTATTATGATAACAGTATTTATTGCTATAAAGCATATTGTACAAAGGCATTTCATCTAAAAGATGACACGCTGAGAACCCTTCTCTGCCGCGGACCCCGGAGGGGCTTGGGAGGGACGGCTGGGCTAAAGGAGCTAAGGTGTTTGGCGCCTGCTTACTTTTCTCCTCCATGCTCTTCCTCTCGTCACCACTCTCGGGGCAGCACTGCAAGGGAAACAGCGTGACAAGCAAGTTAAGACTAAGCCCTGGATGGGACTCTTCTCGGGCTCCCAAGGGCGCCACTGGTCCCCGATGCCTCCTCCTGGGCCTTCCTGAAGGGCCAGGGCTGTCCGATGCAGGTTCCAACCGGGGCACCTCCCCAGCGCCCGAGTTACCTTGCCCGGCCGCCGAGGCCACCTTCCTGGGGGCGTCCGTGACCCCCGCCCCGGGCACTGTCCCGGGCTAGACCCTGAGGGTGGTCTGGCCAGGGCCCCTACCTCGGGCCGCGGGAACCACCCTCCCATCTCAGAGTCACCTCGCCAGGACCACGTCCGCGGGAGGTCTGTGCCACCTCACCGGGCCACCGCGGTCCCCTCCCCAGGTCGCCAGGGCCGCCTCACCGGGGCTGCCGGAGCCTCGCCGATCTCGCCGGCCAGGAGCATCATGGCTCCGCGCGAGTCCCCGGCGCCACGCGCAGCCAGCGGGGCTCGCGGGGTCGGACTCCGCCCGGCGACACTGGGCGGCGCGGCTCCGAGGCCGCAGAGAGGTGAGCCACCTCGACTTCCTCCCGCAGTCTCCGGTTCCTCCCTCTCCTCCCAGAGCGGCCCTGCGCGCGCAGCCGCAGGTCTGTGGCGTCGCGCCCCCTGCCGGCCGGAGGCTGGGACCGCAGCGCAGGACGCCGGCGCCCCACCTACGGCGCGGGAAGAAGGGGGCGGTCCTTCAACCGCTGCGACAGCCCTCCTCCGCTTCACGGAGCCGTATTCCTCATCCTATGAAAATCGTTTAAATTTATAGTTCAGACAATATCCAGATGTTCTGGGAGGGAGGGGTTTGTGGACCGGGAGCTTCAGCGTAGGGTTATTAGGTTTGGCATAGTTGGGAGATCTTAAATGAATGTCAGTATCTTTAAATCTTGCTTTTAAGGCAGGTCAGATTCCACAGGGATGACCTCTGGTTTCCTGCCTGGAAGTTGCAGATTGGTTGTTAAGTGTCCTGGGAGCCATAGAAAGGAAAAGCATTCAACAGCTAACGTGGGTCTTACCCAGGGGTGATCTTTAACCCTTGTTATTTGCCAGGGAGGAAGAATAGGGTTACTCAACAGTAAAAAGCAGGCAGAGGACCAGGGATTTAACAGCTTCATACACACTAACAGGAAAGGGAGTATGGGGGTGGGGAGGTCTTGGAAGCAACAGAGACAAAAACTCAAACTTGTACATTGGATATCCTGAGGTATGAGTTACCATTGCCAACATAAAAATAAGAGAAAGAAGCTCCGCATAGTGGCGCACACTTGTAATGCCAACTCTCGGGAGGCTGAGGCAGGATCGCCTGAGTTCGAGGCCAGCTTGGCCTACATGGTTAGTCTAGACCAGCCTGAACTACATAGCGAGACTGTGTCTCAAAACACAAACACATACACATACATACATACATACCACCGAAGTCTAACAGAAACATAAGGACATGAAGCAACCTTGGTTTTTCACTCAGAATTGAAGTTTGGCAAAATAACTAGATCTGAAATAACAGAGGCTTCGATGTAGTAAAGGTGTGCTTTTTGAAGAGCATGGGAAACGATATGAATTTTATTTTTCTTTAAACAGAAGCAAAACTAGCTATAATCAGGTTTCTGGAACCGGGTCCTATTAGGGAGCAGTCAGCAGGCCGGGTAAGAAGTGGGGAGATGCACTGTTGGATCCACTTGCGCAGGAGCCCTGTCCCTAAAGTGATTTTTTTTACTGTTAACTGCGCTATGGGGTACAACAAGAAAAGGGCCACAAATGTGTAGAAGAAACTCCGATTCAGATACAAATAATAAAGCAATCGCTGTTTTAGAAGCCCTGAAGGCCTAAAGAGCTCTTTGACGATAGTAAAACCACTTTTTGTCCAGTCGCGGGCTTCCAAGTGGACCTCCGGGCTCCTGCGAGGTCAAAGTGCAGTGTTGCAACCCAGCAGGCCCGACTTCTTGGTCTCCCAAACGCTGCCGTGTGTGGGCGGGGCCTCCCGGCGGCCGGGGCGGGGCCTCCCGGCGGCCGGGGCGGGGCCTCTCTGCCGCCAGGGCGG